AACGCAATTAAATAATACTTTAATAAAATAAATTACTAACTATTCGAATAGAACGACGGATCCCCTCCGGACCCCGAAGAACTCTCGCCCTATCCGCCCCAAAAAGTAAAACTAGTACCGATTTAAAATCCCTACCCCCTACGCAATATATACAATCAATATTAATTAAAATGTAATTAGGGATAAACTAAGGAACGGTTAATTAATTTTGTATTTATTAGCGCTGAACTATTCTATAAAATAGTTAAAATAGTACACTTTAATATTATTAATCTATATAAATTAAACCGCTTTATTGAAGAAAGGTATAACGCCTAGAAAGAACCTTTAAAAATAAATGAATTAAAATTACGGCAGAGAATCCTAAAAAAAGTCCCTAATTAATATTATAACTTTCTAAAAATCTTTAGTAAAATTAAGTCTAACGCCCTTCCTAAATTCCATCCTAATATTAACTACTATATTCCCTTAAACAAAGAATTCCGTCCCAAAGACCTTCGTTATAGTCCTCTTTATAAAATATCCTTAAAGGAATTAGAGGTTTATTGAAATTATATTACCGAAAATTTAGACAAGGGATTCATCGAATTAAATACAGTACTATAGGCCGCCCCGGTACTCTTTATACTAAAAGCCAACGGAGAATTAAAATTTTATATAGACTATTACAAATTTAACGCCCTATTGTAAAAAGATTAATACCTACTACCCCTTATTAATAAAACCATTGCCCACCTTATTAAAATAAAGATTTTTACTAAAATCGATATTCGCCAAGTATTCTACCGTATCTGTATATTCCCCGATAATAAAGACTTTACTATTTTCTATACGCGTTATAGGGCGTATAAATATAAAGTCCTCCCCTTCGGATTGACGAATAAACCAGCTACTTTTTAATAATTTATTAATAAAATATTAATAAGTTACTTCGATAATATTTATAATATATATATTAATAATATCCTCATTTTCTCCAAAACCGAAGAGGAATACAAAATATATATAAAAAAAGTATTAGAAAAGCTTTAAAACACTAAACTACAAGCGGACATTAAAAAATACAAATTTTATATTACTTCTACCAAATTCTTAAGATTTATTATATTTACAAACGGCGTATTTATTAATTCTAATAAAATAACCATCGTATATAATTAGAAGGAACCTACTAATATAAAAGGAATCCAATCCTTTATCGGGTTCTATAACTTCTATAGAAAATTTATAAAAGAATTCGGAAGAATGGCACATCCCTTAACCAACCTTACAAAAAAGGATGCCCCTTTCCAGTAGATTAAAAAGTACTAGACTTCCTTCAACGAATTAAAGAATCGCCTCTTAAAAACCCTAATTCTAGTCTATTTCTATTATAAAAAACCTACCCAGATCGAAACCGACTTATTAAATAGCGTTTATACCGGCGTTATATTGTAATAATAATCTAAAAATAATAATTAATACTTAATAATATTCTATTCCGAAATTATATTCTTAGCGGAAATAAATTATACTATTTATAATAAAGAATTACTAGTAGTAATAAAAGCTCTCGAAATTTAGCGTATAGAATTAATAGAAATATATCCTTTCTTTATTATAATAGACTATTAAATTCTAGAATACTTCTCGACAAAATAATTCTTTAATTCGCAATAAACTAATTAAACCGAATCCATATCCCAATATATATTCAAACTTACATATCGCCCAAGTAAGGAAAACGTTGCAATTAATATTCTCTCCCGAAAATTAAAGGATCTACAAACCGTTAAAAATAAAAAAGAGGATTAAAGAACTTTACGTCTTTTCTAATAAAATAATAAAGAAATATACTCCTATGTAAGAGATAAAGGAGATATACCGGTAGTAGACGTATAGGTACTAATAGTAGAATTCTATTTACTAGATAATAGAGAGGAACCCCTACTACTATCGGGTATAGAATTAATAAACGCCCTATTAAAAACTAATTAGGAAGATTAAATATTATTAGTATATTAAACGAAGGTAAAGAATAGTAACCCCGAATTTACCCTCCGACCGGACGGCCTCCTTCTTAAAAAGACCGATTGATTTATAATTCTAGAAGGAGACTTTTAATATATACTTATCTATAAAGCCTATATATACTTTATTACTGGCTACCCCGGCCGAAATAAGACGCGACGATTAGTATTTCAATAATATTAGTAAGTAGGCATATCCAATAATATTAATTACTTTATTAATAATTATTAAACGTATAAAACCTTAAAGGTCCTATATGATAAGACCCTTAGATTATTATACCCTTTGGGCGTACCTAACCGTTTGTAGTAATATATTATTATTAATTTTAAAAGTATATTAAAGGATAAGAGAAGGTATAATAATATAATAATAATAGTAGATTATTTATTTAAAGCCTTATAGTATATTCCGTATAAGGATATTATAATAGTTAAATAAGTAGCTTATTTTTACTACTATGGTCTATAGAGAATATACAATTATTTAAAAGAAATAATCAATAATTACGGCCTATAATTTATTTCCTCTTTTATTAACGAAATATTAAAAATTTTAAATATTAAATAGAAACTATCTTCTTTAAGGTATTTTTAAACGGTTGGACAAATAAAAATTATAAATCAATATATTAATTAACGCCTTCAACTATTTATTAACTATAATTAAGATAATTAATTAATAGTATTCCCCGCCCTTAATATTATCCAAACCTCTCTTCCCTATAAAAATATTAATATATCCCTATATAAAACTATTATAGGCTACTTAATATTACTATTATTTTATTAGGACTAATATATTACCGCCCTAACCCCTACGAAGGAAAAATATTCCCGAAAAGAAGTTTAAAAGGTATTAAAAATATTATATAATTTCTAGGAAGCTATTCGTACTACTATAGCTAAGAAATAAAATAAGTAAATTATATAAACGAATAAGTATTACTAAGAGTCCGATTTTAAAATAGGAAATTGTATCTTTATTATTAAGAAATCTTAAACTACGGATAGACCTAGCGACAAATTCGATTTCCCCCTTATATATACTCCTTATTATATTGAAGTATTATCGGATTTCTCTTACGAATTAAATATACTACCTATATAGTAAAGTATTAAAATCTACTATACTAATCGACTTTGTAAATATCCGAATAATCTATTACTAGGATAAATAAATAAAAATCTAGCGGGAGAGATAATCGGAGACGAGGAAGAATAGGAAGTTATAAAAGTTATTATATTATAATTAATTAATAGGAAACTTTACTATTAAACGGAATAGAAGGGTTGGAACCTAAATCCTACTTAATATTTAGCCTGGAATTTTAAAAATACCCCCAATATATTTAAAGCTTTTTATAATGTAAACCCGGAGAAGCCTAGCCTTTTATAGTACTTACGTATATAAAAGGGTACTTAAATAAAGGATATAGTACTAGAGGACTATAAAAATAATAATATACCGGTGGAAGGAATATAGGGGAAGCTACTAAAGAAATTAAATCGTTTATATAAGTAAAGAATAAAGGAATAAAGTAGAATTGATAAATAATTATTACTATAATAAATTATAATAAATAATTCGTAAAATTAGTCTAATAGTACAATAGTAGGAGTAAAGGCCCCTAAATTATATTGTAGGCCACCCCGAAGGTACCCCTCCTCTACTTAGGAAGCGATCGTAAAAAGAGGCTACGGGTTCGAACCACACTACAGTCACATTTTTTTTCTTTTTCTTCTTTTACGCGATTTTGAGGGCAGAATCCTCAGTGAAGGGGGGGGTAATGTTATGGCCCAATCCTACTGACCTATGCCCGGGCACATTGCTGCACGATCGCTCGGATACGAACGACTTAATTAGTTGTAGATTAAATAAGGAGAGTGGTCCGAGTAACCTGGGTCTGGAGGCATATCTTCCAGCCCAGCTGCCCGCATAACTCTTCCCTTTTGTTTTACTCTTTAGTCGTAAATTCTATGTTGAACGTCAACAACGCTGCAGCCCTGCCTCGCCCGTTACGTGCCTTCACAATTATACCTATCAAAAACTTTGGACTTAAATATAATAACCCCGCTATCGCTGTAGTAATCGTTATAAAACTGCTTAATAAAAATCTAAGTATTATTATAACCCTATTATTAAATACAGCGGGCGCGCTAGCGTATATTATTGAAGTCTTTATAAATCTAGGGAATAATAAAATACTTTTCCCTAATTATAATGAAAATAGTTCGTATTGTAAAATCTCGCTATAGTAGAAGCTCCTCGATAAAATAATTAGCTTCTAAGCTAACCTCGCGCTCGTATACCTTAATACAAAATATAAAATAACCTTCTAATATATATAATGGGGGATAGCCTTCGTATATTAAATTTATAGCCCGGGTAATCCATCCCTATCCTATATTCTTTTTAAATTGAAGTACAACTCTAAATAGATAATAGCGAACCTTCTTTTATAATATAGACTACTTCTTTAAATTATTATTATTATTAAAAGGGGCTTAAAGTCGATACTCTACGTAGTCGCACTGAAATACAACCTTAATAATAGAACTATATTTTGGATACCCTAATCTATTATACTTCTAATTATATTAAACTAAAATACTAAAGCAATAGCAATGGCAGAAGGCGACGAAATGGGTATATATCTTATTATAATTATCGGTCGGTTCGAGAAAGAAGAGGGGGTCGTTGGCTAGTATAATTTATATTATATTAGGGTCGAATGAAGTATTAGAAGTAAAAGTATCGTTAGAGGATTGCGACGTACAACGAGGGTGCTTCGATAGTACGGTTACCGGAATAAAAGGTATCTATAGTAATTAATTAGTCTAGAAATTATTTAAATACAATAACTTTACATATATTGAGTATAGTATAGAGTATTATTGTAGATACGTGTAGAGTGCTAGTACTAGTGCTGGTACTAGTGTAAATGCGTGTAGCTGGCCGTGTGAAAAAGGGTGAAATGAAATGGACAAATTAGAGCGATGTTACGTATATTAAAAAGACGAAATTTTGTAGGTAAAAACGGGAATTTTAATGTTAGGTGTCATCAGCTGAACCGCCCCAATTTTTTGGTGGGGGTGCGTACCTGGAGGTTTTGGGTGCGTGCGGGGAGGTTAACTCTTAATTAATATTAATGCTACGTAATATTTAGTATCGATGATTAATATAGTATATACGTATATAAATTGTCTATTTAATTATTATAAGTATTTTTAATACTGTAATATCCTAATCGATTAATAGTATTTATGTACAAAGTTACCCCTGAAGGAATTGACTATATTCGCAGGTATCGCATCTACTACTAGTCTACCTATATACAAAGTTACCCCTGAGCGTATCGGTAATATTAATAGATATCGTATACTATCCATAGTCTGTGCGAACGGCCCGTGAATTAATTGAATATATTCCTAGGTATTGTATCGCATTGTATTATATCGCATCGCATTGCATCGCATTGTATTGCATTGTATTAAACGAATTAAGCACATTACTGCCAGGTAAGTTCAATCCTTAATTATATTTACATCCGTTATTCAATTATATTTATATATATTATATCCCCAATTGGCGCTAGGTGCTGGGCGCTAGGTGTTGGGTGTAGGGTGTAGGGTGCCGGGTGTAGGCACTAGGCTGGGCCAGGCCGGGCGGCAGTTAGGCTAGACCGTGCGCGGGGTGGACGGCAGGCAGGCAGGCGGACGGTAATAAGTAGATCCATAGGTAGACAAATGTATAACGTCGTTCGCAATTTCCGTTTTGTGAAATGTAGGTATCTACATGTATCTACAGGTGGGATCCATCTTCCTAGACTTAGACCAACCAGAATCCAGAATTCCTGTTTTTACATATAATTTACTATGTTTGAGTAATTTACTATAGTTGTCCATTTACTGTATAGAGCTAGAGACGATTTATGGATTGTAAGTTCGTTTGGTATAATTGCAATTGAAACTTACAGTCTAAAGACAGTAGGTAGATGGTAAGTTGCAGGGGGGGACCCGCAGGTAAGAATTATATTAATTATAATAACTCTCCTTCCCCTATCTCTCTCTCTCTCTCTATCTCTCTCTCTTTTTTAAAATCAATAATCACAAATCATAAACGATATTCTATCGCCCGCGGCCATTATCTTCCATATACAATTAATTACAATTAATTATAGTTAAATAAAGTAACCTAAAGTATCTTTGAATTTTTTATAGTAATATTCGACTATAAATATAAATATTATTATTGTTACTAGAATTCTAAATTTATATAATTAATATGAATATAAACAATACCTAATAAAAAGCTTAAAAATAATCGTCTCTATAGTTGCACTCCTGAGGATACAGCTACTTTAGTCGATAAGGGTAAACGGACTATTAATCTTAATATATAGCGTCTTAAGGATAATAATAAGGACGAGCCGGATATTACTAATAATTAACCGTTTTTACCTACCAATACGCCTCCCCAACTTATTGCGCCTAAAATATCGTCGCCTTCTTTTACCGGCTAAAATACCCCTAATAGTCAATTTCCATTGTATTGAAATTTCATAAGTTAATTTATATTTTTCTTTTTTCTCGTTATATATATCCTAACCTTGCCTTAGCGCTGCAATATTACCTCGCTATATGAAGAATAATAAAAGGGTAGCCGTTTCAAATGTATAATTAAATTTATAGAATTGGCCGTATCTACCAACATCCTCCAAAAAAACAATTAGCGTACTAGTACTGATACTAGTATTAACTCTAACCTAGCAACGAATATAATATTACCCACCTACTGATATTAATAAAAGTATAATAGTATATAAAATAATGATATACTTATATTTAATATCTAATATCCTCCTACTTTTAAATATTTTCCATTCCTAAATACCCTCCTCCTAAATACCTTCTTACTCTTAAATATCCTCCTTTTAGATATCTTCCTTCTAAATACCCAGCTGCCCCTCCGGTATTTTTACTTAATCTTTTCGCACCCTAACATTTAATACCAACTCGGAATTTAATACCCGCCCAATATTTTTCACCTACCCTACCTTATAATTATACTCCGCCTAACTATTATCCTCCCTCTAAATACTTAATACCTATATTACAACCACCTCCTTAAATCTTTTCACCTTATTAATTTTTCCCTAGTTATGTAATAGTTAATCTATCAGTCCTCCAATAGCAAATTAAACAAAAAATTCAATAACTAGTCCAAATACAAATATAATTTTTATAATAGTAAATATAGGAATAAATATAATAGTAAATATAATAATGAGTACAGTAATAAATATAATAAATATAATAATAATTTATTCAAACCCAGCCCGCCATTACTACTACTCAAATATCCCAATCGGCTATAGCTACTCCCACTCCTGTTAATATAAATTAAAAGGATTTCGAATACTTTCTTCGTAGTAGAAACTTTACTAATATAAACGATTTTTCTCTATTATAGAAGGGTCCTATATTAGAGTAAATTAAATAATAAATTCGAAAGGTAGAAAAGTCTCAAAAAATGAAAAAAGTATTTAAGGTAAAGGAAATTCGCAAAATGAATGTTCGTAGAGTAGAAATAGTACGTTAATAGAAAATTAAAGAATTTTGTTAAATTTCAACTCAGGTAAAGACCAAAATTATTAAACTACCTATCCATCCATTTAATTTAATTATATTAATTATTGATACGTCTATTATATTCGGCTATAGCACATCTAATACCCACTCTAGTTTCAACCTTGAAGAGGCTTTTCAATAGCTACCCTAACAAAACGACGATAAACATAACGATTTCAAAACTAATAATAATGATAATAAGAATAATAATAATATATTCGGTAATATTAGCATTCCTCCTCGTCGCCCTAGTAGTACTTGTTGGTGGGTCCCTGGCATTCACTGGGCCCAGTCCCCACTCTGTGCCCTGCCCAGACCGCACCACATCTAGCCTTCCAGACTCCGCCAGTCTCCCTCTCTTTCTCTCTTCTTCTCCATAGCACACACTTAATCAATCGTATTCAACCGCTTAATCTCGTTGGTAATCCCACAGGTCATAAGCCCTCTCAAACCTTCCCTATAATTACATTTAACAAACGCATCATTAAACGCATCGCCAGCTTCATCAAGGCGCTACAGCACCGGGTCAACAAGCCATCGCGACCTTCGTCTATTTAACAACTCGCCAGCTCGCCCGCAAGCCAGCCTCGCCACATGAAGATTCTCGCCAACACTTGTTGTTCAGCGATCCCTCCATCGAACCAATTATAGGTTCTATCAAATCCATTATCGAATTAAACGATTTTATTAAATTAATTAATAACTAATCTAGCGACTCCTACCGTAACCCCTCTTCTTTTTCAGACACGCAATTTCGACTCGATAATCGCCAATATATCAAACCCTCCTATACCAACCACGACTACCAATTCCTCGCTAATCCCCTTCCTCAGTAATTAGAATATTATTAAAGAATATTAGGGATTTATAGCCGAATTTAATTACTTTTAATTCGCTAAATACATCTTCAAAACAATCCTAGAACCCAATAAAACAACGGATCCCGAAAAGTATAATACTTAGTAGACTAAATGCACTAACGCTAATAAGATTCTACTCTCTACTTTTAAAACCCCCGCCGTCGTTACAATTTTAATAATTAATAGATAGAATAGGATTAGTAGAAACCTTAAAGTTATATATAATCTTATATAATCTTATATTATTTATATTACTAATAAGGTTCGTAGTGAAGTTTTCGCTGAGTATTTGGCTATTAAGCGTGCTAATTTTGATATTATAGTTTTTTTTCTTATTTATTATATTTTATTCTATAAATGTATTAAAGACGTTATATTCAAGATTGATGATGATTTTGAGGTTATTTTTCTTTATAATGCTATAAAGATCGTTTACCCTATCGATGTTAGATATTGGGTAATTGCTTTAAAGGTTAACGAATTGGATATTAGTACCTTCTTAAATTAATTCGGTAATATTAGTAATATTGAGGTCCGTACTAGTATTAACATTAATATTTCAAAGTTAATTAATATTAATACTAATAATAATACTAATAAAAATAATAATAATACTAGTTTAATTAATAAGAAGAAGGACGATAAGAGAATCGATTGTGTTAACTATACTAGAAAGATCTATATTAATTAGAAGTACATTTCCTACGGTTACTATATTAATAAATAAATAAACGTCTACTAGGTTTGTTACCCTAATAAAACACCTGATATTTGGAGACCTAAGAAGGAGATATTGGCTAAGAAGGTAGCTAGCGCTGGTACTAGTACCTTCGCTAATAATACTTCGACTAATCTAACTACTCCCGCTACTACTATTAATTTTATTTTATTGTATAGAGGTGGATTGTTTATAGGTATAACCGGTATAGGTGGTAGTATGGATTTTTGTTAGAGCCTCTAGCCGACGCTGTTAAGCGTGTTGACAGTACTTAGAGTAGTTAATTAATCGATTATTAACTTCAATTTCAATATACCTATAATGATCCTGCTAAAGTCTAATAGGCTCTAAGGCAATTTTAATAACTAGATAGTATTCGAGATCTAGTTATTTACGACTCTAGTTATATGAATAATATCTTCAACCACTTTAAATAGTTTATAGATATATAATTACTCCTCTATTTAGTAATTTATACAATCGGTAATAGAACTTCGACTTATACCTACTATATTAGTACCGTTAAATTGACTATAGCTACTTTAAATAATATAACCATTAAGGTTAGAATTAAAGATTTCATTTATAGTCCTTCTACCCCAGCGAATCTATTAATAATAAAAGGTCTTCTTAATAACAGTATAGTCTAGGATATAAAGACTAACCAGATCTCGGTATACGATAAAGTTACAATATAATACAAATAGATTAACGGCCTTCTAATCCTTCCGGTATATACCCAGCAAGACTTTCCCCAAAATATTCGCTACGCTATAATAGCTTTGATTAATTATTCCATAATATACCGCCGCCCTATATATATACGCAAAGACTAGGTTCTCAAAGCTTGCGAAGCAGCTGGTATTAAGTTAAACAATACCTAAGATTACTTCTGTGAGGTATACGTTAAAGCTAAAACTTACAATATAATCCCT